TGGCCTGGAGGTGTTGTGTAACAGCATCAGCAGTGGGAACGTGTATTTATATGCCCTTTGCAGGCGGATTATAAATAGAACTTTGTCTTTGGGCAGCCCTTCAGAGCAGGTGTCTGATCAGAGCGCTGATGAACCAATGCTACATTGTGATAAGCTGAACATGGATTATAGGGAAATCTGAAAAAAAAAAAAAATCACTGACACTGTATAATCCTGCTGCCAACTGCTGGGTTCACGTGACTTCATGTTGATACATGTTTTATAAAGGTCCTGTAAAACTTGAACTTTTTAGCGTTTTACCATCTTTGCATAGGTAGGAGATGTTTTTTTAATTTAATGTAGCATTGTGCTAAAGGCTTCTGCACATTATCTTTGGGCCACTGAACTGAAGGGCGGATGCAGGCAACCATACAGGTGAATGATTGAACTGCCAGATTCACACCATTGGCTTCGTCTGCCATTGGCCAGATTAATAAACATATCCTGACTGCCAGACTGAGACGGTTCATCACGGGAGGTTTTTGAGCCATGTTGAAGGAAGAATTACTTCCTTTCGTGACCTAATTAACTGTTGCCATGGTGACTGTGCTGTCAGTGAGAAAACAAGCCATTAATCAAACCCATGCTGTAGAGCTTGACTTCTCAATCTACTTCCTCTGCCTCATCAAATTAACACTATTGCTGTTTTGTGATGTGATTGCATTACAGCAGGGGAATGGTTAATGACAGACATATAGATTGTCTGAAACAAATCGATGGTCTCTTAATCAATTTCATCCACGTCTTTAGCATTACACACGGTTACCTAATCTTAATCCTTACCATAACCATATCCTTCTCCGATTCTAATCCTAATTTCAAACTCAATTTAAACTTCCTGAAACCCTCCCTCCTAGTGAGAAACTGAATGGATTTCCCACAAGAACAAAGGTCCCCACAATGATATTGAGACCTATACCTACACACACACACACACACAATAAACATTCAGACAAATGTGTTAATTTGCAATTCAAGAGATTCCTAAGTAGGATTAACTCTGGAAAAGTTACTCCGAGCAGTCGTACAACTTAAAGGAATGCTAGCTTTAGAAGAAAAGTTTACCTGGACTGAGGACCAGCACTACAAGACCTCAGACAATGGACCCCACGTATATGATACCAAACCAATTTGGGTTTCTGTTGAAACTGGATTGAATCCTTAACCTGATTGTTGGTAGACTGTTCAACCCAGTGGGTGGGGGAGGTGGAGGGTGGAGGGGGGATTTGATGGCTGACAATGTGGCAAGGTTTCTTACCTGCCCCAGAATTGATCCCTGTTTATATCCACCTATTCCTATCCCAAACGAGATGGGTGACTGTTCTCTTTCTCAGTGTTTCCCAAACTTTTTTTCTGGGGACCCATATTTTAAAAGTCACAAACCTTTGCAACCCAAGTCAATAGAAATTATTCGTAAACTCCTGGGAAACATGATACAAGACGACCCCCAAAGAAAATCACTTGCGGCCCACCTGAGGGTTGCAACCCAGTCTTTGGGAAACAATGCTCGAGCTGACTTTCCCAGATCTTAATAAAACACTTTTTTAGGTGGATTATTTATCCCTACTGTACAACAATTGGGACTCAAAAACAGATCCAATCATGAAAATGATCTCTCTTCCTGACAACAATGCAATCCCCAGCAGTTGAGAAACACCAGCAGGTGTGGCTGAAAGCACAAAAAAAAAAAAAAACCCACAAAACTTTTCTTGACCAAATTGTTCGCATACAGTGTACCCAGCTACAGTTTCAAACATCTCAAATTAAAGTTTGCTGCAATTGTCTCTGGTGTATTTTGAGACCTGAACCCGATCACCAAATATTCGAACGACAATGAAAAACTATAGGTTGATAGTAAACTGGGGCAGATGTTTCCCTGGTATTCACTTGTTTCGTAGCTCCAATAACCCAGAAACTTCACATGTGAAGTTGAAATTGAGGTGGGGGTGAAATAAAAATTTGGCCAGCATTTTATAATCAATTTGGCTGAAAGCACACACAGCTTTCACACACACAGCTTTCACAAATACTAGCCCTTCAATGGTAACATTTGAATTATCTTTGGGAAATGTTCGAAGAATGTCTTCTTTCAATCCATATATTAACATGACTGTCCCTGAATGCAGCATGGAGTTGTAGGTATTTTTAGTGGAAAAAAAGCTGCCTTTACTGCCACAACCTTTACAAAGCCTCAGTGATATCCAACGCCCTAGGAATGTCAGAGAAATAAGAAGAAGAAAAAAAAAAAGTAAGACAAAAAAAGAGAGAGAGAGAAAGGAAGAGGGAGAGGGAGAGAGACAGAGACATCCTTATGGAAAACGAGAGGCCGTTCAACAAGACCAACTGGTTTGCTGAAATGGGAGTGATTGCGAAGTACCGAGAGAACGAGGCTTCATCAGGCCAAACCTGAACGACGTGTAGAATTTTGAAGCTGTGGATCTACACTCACAAACTGAAGAGATGCAACTTCGAAAAAATAATTAAAAAGGATCGCCTTGAAATTAAAGAAAAGTGGATGGTTTAGTTGTTTTAATAGGCTAAAGGAAATGGCTGTTACCACATACCTCACACAGACAAAGACAACACGCCTACAGTTAAGACGAGAGGTTTAAGAAGCTAATCAAAAAAGTTTGAGATGAACGATTCTACACCTTTCCAGCTTGACAATGGTTTTCTAAGGTTACAGGATACCTGCTGAAAGCCTTTTGTTGTGCCCTGCAATGCTGTATTCTTGGAAGTTATTCATTACATGTAGTAGTTGTAGTCATCAACGTCACACTTGACACAGGCAGCGAACACAAAGGCGAGAAGTCAGGACGTTTTGCCCTCATCATCAAAAGAAGAAACAATGTCAAATGTGTTTTTTCTTTATTTGATGTTCTCCAAGGGATGTTGTTGTAGACCTTGCTGTATGTGTTTGACACCAAAGTTAAACTGGTGACACTGCAGCAGCAGCAGCAGCCCACTGCACCACGTACACCACCTAGCAAAGACACAGCTGACTGCTTCTGTCTGTGACCAGTATTGATAATGTCTGACTTTCTTTCAGCTGTCATACACACTGATGAAATACATGTTTACATTGACTTCATGTCATAAAAATGTATGTAGCACTGAAGCAAGTAACAGAATGTTTTATGACTGCAATGCTGTTTGGAAACATACCGTATGCGGTTTCAATGACAGCGTAACTATGTTTGCGATGTCATTAAACTGTCTCTTTGAACGACTGTGACGAGGTACTAATTACCTACACATATTAAAGTGTGCAGTACAAATTTACAGGTGTTGTAGCTGGAAAGTGACGGAGAGGCTGGCAGATAATAATTAGCTTTGTAAGCTAGTGTACGAAATATCAGTGTTGCACTAAAGTGTTCCCCAAACTTTTTAATATTTTAAAGATCACAAAACGTCAAGACCCAAATCAATAGACATTATTCGTAAACTCCTGGGAGACATGTTGCGAGACGACCCAAAAAAACCCTCTTGCGACCAACCTGAGGGTTGCGACCCAGTCTTTGGGAAACGATGTTCTACGGAGTTGCACATATTGGTGGTATTGAGAACGTCACGTTATTTGCAAACAATATTTTCTGCAGCATTTGTTTTAGTTATGCAGTTGCGTACAAACACCACTGGACCCAGGCCTGGCTGAGGAACAGTAGAGGGAGGGGAGGAATAGGTGTCTCACAATCACACAATCAATCTGTGAGGAAGTGAGCTGAGAGAGAGGGAGAGAGAGAGAAAGAGAGAGATAGCACTCACTGAAAACGTCGGCAGTGACCGGCAGGAACGCAGTCGTAATCAGTTCACGTGACTAAAATCGATTGTCTCGCACAGATTCCGGACACAGCTGCATGTGGACTTGGCAAACATTGCTCCACGCAAGAATGTAGACTTTACCCATCGGCCGATGGGTAAACACACTGTAATGTGTGACTCAGCATCTGTGTACGCAGTCCAATTAAACTGACAGTAGTTTGTGATGATGTCATCAAACACAGTCTAGTAAAGTTGAAACTTTATGTTCCTCTTTCGTTCCTTCAGGCTTCCACTATAGAGTGTTTACCGAAGCCTAGACGCAAACAGAGCAGCAACATGGGGAAAAAAGAAGGAAGACACGGCAGCTTACAGTAACCCTTTGACAACACATCACCACGAGTTATGTGATATACATATGTTCACATCACCACGAGTTATGTGATATACAAGAATATGTCGAGCATGGAATCTCAAATTCCCTGCTCACAAATTGATATCTTTTATTCCCTCCACGACCTCACAGTCTGCACTTGAGACAACAATCAATTGCCAGGTAATATCTGACTCCAGTTCAGGTCTGGAAATAGCTCCACATGAGCAAGAAAAATGGCAAGCTGCATCAACACAGCCCTAGCACAGAGATATTGTTTATCATGAGAGTTACACCGGAATTGGAAAACCTTGGATGGAAGGAACAGCTCCAAACCTGGAGAACATCATTAGTTCTTCTCCTTGAGTTGTACTGCCACATCTGCATCCTTTAGGTTGCATTACTGCCACCTACTGAAGCTGTTTATAATAATAATACTCAGACCTATTGTGAATGCAATTGAAAGCAAGAATCTTCAGACAGAGGACAGCATCTCCATTGATGAACAAAATACACACCATATACTTCATTTAGAATGAGTAAAACTGACGGAAGGTTTTTTTTTTACTCTATGTAGATTTTAGGGAATTAGACCAGACTGTCCCTTTAATTTGTTATACCCTTCTACATGATGCTGTTTGACCTTCATAAGAGGCTGCTGCACTTCACAACCATTCACTTCACCCTGTTTCATTTAATATACAAACATAAATAAACTTAGCAGCGCTGCCCACTACGTCATGGCCGCAGTATAGACACCAATCCCCGTGTTTTTAATTCATTCGTTCGTTCGTTAGGATGCAATATTGAGCAGAATAACTGGACTCACCGAGTGTTTTGACGGCGATCTGTCTGGTGAGAGGCGGCGGCAGGTTGATGCAGACCAGGTCCACGTCCTGGTGCAGCAGCACATCGTCGATGCGGTTAGTGTAGAAGGGAACGTTCATCTCCTTGGCCAGCTCCTCCGCCTCCTCCTGAGTGCGGCCCCACAGCGCTTTGACGGCGAAGCCCTCATTCTTCAGCAGCGGGATGATCACTCTGGCTGTTAGGCTAGTGCCGAACACGCCGACCCCGGGGAGCATGGCTCTGCTTTGCTGCAGTGCCTTCGGGCTTTGTGTTGGTTTTTACTCGGTGCTGAGAACCCAGCGATGCCGTGCTGCGGCGTCGGCAGCGGCAGAGACGGCAGAACGGCAGCTGGGACCGTCAGGTTGGCCATCCACCTGCAGCCAAACAGCCATCGTGCAGCATTCTCCCGTCGCACCTCCGGGCATTTACTGCTCGTATCCTACGCGGAATATGATCCAGGAATATCACAGACGCCGTTAGATCTTTAGAATGGAAATGTAAACCTACGGTACCGGTCAACACAAGTCTGACAGCGGTCAGCGCAGCGACTGCGCCAGGTGCAGCGCATGTCACGTTCCTGCACGCTGGTTTATTTTCCTGCCTTCACATGTACCAGGAAAAGAAAACAAAACAGCCACGGAAGAATTCCTAGATCCAGCAGGAGGACGCAAACACCGCCTCGGCCCAAACCCTGCAGGCTGTAGCAGCAGCACCAGCAGCAGCAGCAGCAGTTGTTGGGCTAAGGCTTCTGTAGATGATCCTGCTGAGCAGTCAATAGCAGCGGCGTCACCGGAAGTGTTACGTGACGGAGACTTTCAAAATAAAAGCAGTGATACCGCGAGGTGTGTAAAATTGTGTATTGTAAAAGCAATTGTGTAAAATAATGTACATTAAATCCTTCCTTATTTACAACTATTACTTTTAACAAGATTTTAAACCCACACCAATGAGCCAGGAGAGCTAATATTACATTACTGATGTATATCTATCCATCTGTCGTGAATATGCAATTAATGCCTTTTTAAACCAAATCGTTACCAATTTCCGGGCTTTCCTCTGTGTATGTTTATAAAAGTTCCTTGACACAGGTCTTAGCTCGTTTCCACCCTATTTAACCCCTTAACAACTGGATTTACTTAAGCGATAGCTTGGTATTGTAGTAGTATTGTAGTATGTAGAGCTGTATCGTTTTGGGGAAGGAAATGACTTAACAAATGCACCATAATATATTTACTACAACTTGCAGCAGTACAAGTTACACGAGTGAAATCAATTTAAAAAAAGTTCATATCTAATATTATAATTATAGTAGGTAAACTGATAGTGATGACTCTCTCTTTATATTTTTTTAACATTTATCTTTATATTGTCTCACCATATCTGAAATAGATCTTTTTTGGCAAGAATCACAAAGAAGCACCACCAAGCTCAGATCTGTGATCCTGAAGTTACTGCGAGAGAAACTGAAAGTCTGCACAAAAGTGCAGTATTCTAAAAACTGTGCTGCAAACCATTTGTCTGAAATAAACTTGAAAACACGTGCCTGGGAATACTCTACCTCCTCTTCCCTGTCATGGTCACGCTCTAATTGAATCAGATGTTTGGTGCGGTTCGTATGTGACCATGTGACCAGCCTAGATCAGACATGTTGATGTAGGATTTTCCATTGTCCAGTTGGGGGCGATGCAGCTTGTGCAAGAGGAGAAGGTAAACAACAGAACATTAACGTGAACCTTTGACTTTGATTGGCTTCCATCTCTCAGTAATACCGTTACATTTCTGTGTGCAACATTGGCGCTAAAAACACAATGTTACTACTGTTTTGCTCTGCAGTACTGAGGTGAAAAAACAAAAAACAAAACCTCAATAATACTGCTATTTCATTGACGGAATTATCCTCACAGTGTTCATATATGTTATATATGTATGTATACATTCGTTATGTTTATTTGTATTATTAACGTTTATTAAAGGTTATGGTAAAAAATGATTGCACCTCAGAGTTGGGTCTAGTAATTTGTAAAATACAAGTTGTGTTTACACACAATTACAGAATAATATAATAATTATCATTATTATCAGCACAAGTGTAATAGTTATTATTATTATTACCATTATTAGTACTAGCAATTATAAAATGACTCACGGAAAGTTTTACAGGTAAATACTGCCCTCTTGCGGCTACATAATACACTTAACGTCACTTTGCCTTGACACGGCTGTCCACATTCAGCTTTGTTCACTTTTGCCGAGTCCTAGGAAGAGTATTTTATAAACCTCTAGGGAAAATGAATATCAGTATCTCAAATAAACCTGTTTAATATAATACTCATAATAATTTTATTTCAAAATATGCTGTTTCGAGCGCACACAAGTGCTTCAGTAACACCTGCTACATTGACTTTGAACTTTAAAATTCAATCAAAACACGGATGGCTTTGCTTTAGTTCAGCACTTTAATAATTACTTAAAGAGGCACAAATACAATAAACAGAACTAAAAACTCCTCTACGCATACCCACAAGGGATTTCCTGTTCCAGCCTGTGGAGACCACTGTCATTCAATAATTTATCTTTACAACCTTTAATCTTTTAAAGACAATAAAATGCTACAAATTAGTTTTTGTTTATGCAAAAGTGTACATACATATTTTAATGTTTTATTGCAGCGGAAGTAAAAAAAACAATAGAAGAAGAAAAGGAACAAAGAAGGTGAAAAGGTTTACTTCATAGGGTGAAAGCACTGGTTTTGGAGCCTGTTAGTCCATGTGTTTCTCACTACTCCCAGTCCTTCATTTATGCTTGAAGAGTCTACAGTCCTCTGTGCCGCATGGGTGAGAATGTTATAATCATGACACACGCACAAAAAAAAGACTCAACTGCTGCTGTTTTTTTCCCCCTAGAATCTCTCTTCCTTTTTCTGACTTTGTAAAAACCAAACCGAGTTTGAAAATGAACGCTAAAAGTAACAGACGCGTTAAAATGTAACAAACACTACAGAGACCAGACAAGTATAGTAACACAGGCATACGTGTACAACGGATTAAAACCCACAAAACACAGACGCTGCATAAATGAAATTCAGGAAAATCACATATTTCGTGAAAATACTGCACGACTAATCACTTTGCTGAAGAAACTGTGGAGGTATGTGTGTTTGTAACGGTTTGACCTTTAACTTCTGACCTCTGTACCAAAGGCAGCAGCATAATGAAGAGGTGACAAACGCCCTTCAAATGACGCCTGCGATCCCCTCCACTTTTTTCTCAGAATTATGGCAGCAATGAAATAACACGTCGTTATTTATAATAAGTGCGTCAGTGAAGCCTACAGACAGCGACTACAGTATGGGATTTAGCAGCACAAATACTTCCACAGTTTCTCTTCAGGGTCATTTTGGCACTTTTTCTTCTACTGGTGCTCAGTCGGGGACTCCAAGCCTAATGGATTCAACTTCAACACTGAAGCGTACATGGTGCAGAAGTGACTGCTGTCCTGCATTAATACAGTGATGCATCGAGCAAGAGGAAGGACCGGTGTTACCAACAGAACCAAGGTAATGTGCAGACTGACAGAAGTGCTGAGGGCCTGGTATTTGCAAAGTCAAGTTTGAAAAAAAAAAACAGATCGATAGTTTTTTTTTGATATGCCAAATGTTCTGAAGACAAAGTCAAGGTTTTACACGTGAACCGAAGAGCTAACCATAATGCTAAGCTAGTGATATTAGTCTACATTTACTCCCAACCCCCACCAGACACCAGTTATAAATGTGCACAAAGAACCCTTGAGAGTGCTGGAATAAGAGATATGGCTATTTACCCTGTTCACACAAAGCCAGACTTCATGAGCAGTGATTGGACATCTCCAGTCACCTGACGGCAAATCAACATTCAAAGGAAAAGGGCATTACAGACAGAAGGGAAACTACATCTAATGAATTGTTTTGAGTTACTGTGGTGATGTATATTGTTACTTATTTCTGTTAAAATATACATTTTTATATATCTGTCCTTGTTTTGAATTCTGAGCATCATCTTTGCACCTGCAACAGTCAACAACGATGAGGTTTACGTCCACTTTTTCTCGCCTATCTTTACGCAGTGAGTGCCAGGAAGTGGACAACATCAACACACGAGGGAACAACATAAGGTAATAAAGCAGAAAAGAAGAGGACAAGGTTTTTAAATGACAAATATAAAGTGTCTCTATGCTCTATCTCCCATGTGCGGGGGCGTGGGGGGGTTTCTGTGGGCCCAGCATGGACTCACAGTTGCCTTGGCTGTCGCAGTGTGACAGCCCTTCATCCTCAGGTTATTGTTCAATCACCAACGGTCCGGCCTTACGTCCACCCTGCCCTTCATTATGAAACCCAGTTTGGAGTCTTCCATCGAAAATGCCCGCTGAACAGTGTCCACAGCATCAGGCCACGTGTACAGTGTGGGGGTAAGGAGCCTTAAGTTTATCTTAAGAATAGATGGTGATGACTTCACGGCCGCCGCCTCGCACCAAAAGGACCCGGTTCAGACCTTCCAGAAGAACCTCCAGGAACTCCATGTCTGAGGTGACAGCGGTCAAGGTACAATAACAGACCTAACTGGTGAAAAACTATTTTAATTTACAGTAAATCATTTTCTTCTTTTGTTTATGCGATTAGATAGATTAGATAGATAGATTAGAATGATAAAAACTACTCGTCCACTAGATGGCAGCAAATAGCCTTAAATCTAATAAAATAAAAGAGACTCAGAGCTGTTGAATATCTTTGTGTATCTTTCTTCATTTCCTGCAAATATACTATATGTCAGTGTTGTGTTCAACTAAACAGGATTGTGATAATTCAGAGCACTACTGCATCATCAATCGCCTTTAGACAAGGCTGCCTCCATCAGTACCATCAGGACACCTGAGCATTGGCTAAAGGTCAGTAAGGATACAGTTTTCGTCTCCCCCCTTGTTCCTGGGTGGTCCAGGCATGTTGAGCAGCACCAGGTGAGCTCCCTGTGATTTGTTCACAACCACCTCATTCAGCTTGACCGCTGTGTGCATCCGTCGGACGTTGGACTGGTTCCTGACGTGACAGGGAGTTCACAGGGGGAACAGAGCAGTGAGGAGGAGAACAGTGGTTACCCACCTGGTTATTATATCTGCAGGACTTAATTAGAACTACACTGTTACATTATCATAGAAGACCGAGACTTGACCTGACCAATGTTGTGCATACTTACACTGACAACACCGGCACAAGTTCAACACACAAAATAAACATTGAAATGAATGTAGATGGCGCTAGTAGGGATGGTTATCACTGGGTTCTTTCTGCATCAAATCAAAGCAGGAAAAATAATTTAGTGAGCTCTATGATTTTAGATATCAAATCAGCTAAATACCAATACTTTGAACCACATAACCATCCCTACAGTATGTTAGGCTTAAATTAGGGTTAAAAGGCAGGTTTAGTAAAAGACCAGAGTGAGAAGCAACACTTTAAACGTACAGTAGGAAAATACACTATTTATCCTGTTTTATTAAGTTCAGCAGCGTTAGATTAAGACGCTGAACTATCAGTTGCACAGATTTGATCATGACGTGGAATCACATGCACGTTCAGGGATTAAACAAAAGAAACGATGACATCACACAGAGAGTACATGAGATGCTGCATGATTTAGTTCTTGTAGATCGACACAAACAAAAAACACAGCGGTGACACACTGGCACGTGCACAGGAGGCTACAGGCACAGCATCAGCAGCATCAGCAGCATCAGCAGCATCAGCAGCATCAGCAGCATCAGCAGTAGACAAACACACACGTACACAGACACACACGTATGAGGCCTAAGACGAAGAGAATGCGACTTACAGATTCTCCCACTCTCTAGAAGGAGAAAAAATAGGACAAAACAACAGAGACAGGCTTGAATGCTTCTACATCAGCTGCATACATCACACTGGACGTTGTATTATTCAGCTGACCCCCTCCAAGACGTCAAAGTGACACCACAGGTGACACAAGCTTCTATTTTACAGAATTATTCGCACCTTTAGATCGTGGCAAAAAGAGCTTCTTTATTTTTATAAATTTAATTAAAGACTAACTCAGAGTCAAAGGTTTGAATAACTAATAAATACCTGTAGCCCAAATGGATTTACGGACTATAACTTGCTCTGGAGTATGTCGCTCCAGCCAGCTAGAGTGCCCTCTAGCGGCTGTCCGTGGGAAAATAACAAACGTAAATTTTCAGTGCTACAGGAATAGCAGATACTGGTACACAAGCCTAGGGTGCCCTCTAGCGGATATCAGTGTAAAAATAACAAACGTGAAATTATATATTTTCATATATAAGTTGCATCTGAGTATAAGTCGTAAACCCAACTAAAGGATTAAAAAAAAGTGTGACTTATAGTCCAGAAAATACTGTACTTAAAAACTGGCCTCCTTTATTCTTGACTATTTCTAAGTGAGTCCATCACAGGACAATAAGTTTGATCAGGGCACAGGGGATGAGGGTGTAACCAGCATGGACGCTACGGAGACTACGATGAACGGTGTTAGTGCACATGTGGTGTGGCCATGCACTTAGACTGAAATGGCTTACAGTGCACAAACAACACACACCAAATGCAGCCTGCACATCAACACGTCTGACGTGTCAGCTTCACCGCTATGTACACGTCTACGACACCACACGCCGCACTGAGGCCTTGGCACCATTCTCAACATTTCCATGGTCAGCCCTGTACAGTGGTTTCATATCCATTTGGTTCTGATTCTTAGCATTTGTGTAACTTGAAAATGAATACACAAAAATGGTGCGAAAGTCTCACAAGGAACATGCTTTGTTGTATCATGTCACACTACTACAACACTTCTCAGTAATACAAAAATCCACAAGACAATGTTCCTTCTGTGACAGTTCCAATAGTAAGGTCGATCAATAACTGACACTGAGTCAGCGCTGATTAAACTCTATTATCTAATGTCAAGTCATTACTTACGGTTTCATGTTAAACAGGTCGCGCATGGCCACGTTGGTGTTGCACTCGCGGTTGCGGTTTCGCTCCGAGAACAGCTTTTCCTTGGTCCAGGTCATGTGAACCCGCTCGGGCCCGGCCTCGGCCTTGTCATTTATCGTGCCATGAGACGCCGTGTTTCGGTCATGAATGAGCTGAGCCTAATTGGAGAGACGTATGACAAAATACAGAAAACAGCAACAATGAGAACGACAACAACTGTCGACGGTTTAAAAAAATGAACCGACTCAAAAAGAACAGATGGTGATGCGGAGAAAAGGAGAGGAGGAGGGAGACGATATCCTGCTGGAGTGTAGATCATTACGATCACAAGGTACGTGGTGCTTTCTTGATTTAACTGAGAGCTGGGGATAAAGTATTCAAACAAATAAGACCATTGTTACTGCAGTGACATTAACCACCACATGGTGGTGCTAAGATACTGTGCTTCAAGGTGCCCACGCTCTTTTGTTGTCCGTCCATTTGGACCGAGGACTGCAACCTCCTGTGATTCCAGTGGTTGTAAATATATGCAAATAGTATTTTCATTTGACTTTATGACCACTTTTCAGTTCAATGCAATAATGTCAGCATGTAGTTCAGGTTCCAGGGCAGTTGTTTAAAAGGGTAAGTGACAGGGAGGTGGACTTGGTCAACGGATGGTATTATGACAATGGTGAAAAGAAATAAAAGAAAAGACAAGACAGCATTACCATCTGTGGTGTGAAGTTCTTTTGCTGCTGTTTGAAAGGAGTCCTGTCAATCCTTATGCTATTGTCTATAAAAACAAACAGGTTTCCTTTGTTTTAAACCTTAAACCTTTGTTTCGCCTTAAAATGTGAAAAACAAAAGATGTAAAAGAAAAGTTACACAAATCAGTTTTGGCAGCATCAGCTTCACACTTCTCTGAGGGAATACTGTCAAGTCCGTTCAGCGGTGTTTTAACGGTAATGGGATGAGGCGGGGTAAAGTAAATTCATGGGAATGGACCGGGACTCGGGATGCAACCGGCTGATATTCACAAAGCAGGTGTCAGTTTGGGTTTAACTGTGAGGTTGTTGACCTCTGAGTGTAAATCAATAGTGTTATGCAACACTAATAAAGTTAGTGTATTAGTGTTACTGCATGAATATGGCTATTATAGCCATGAGCTAATGCCAGGCATGCATTCACCCTGACAATAATATCAAATTCAAAGCTGACTATTTTTAAAGAAAATTACAAATTGATAAAATCTTTTACATTGCAATTAAATATGGTTTCAGTCCTAAAGACTTTGATTTTGAAAAGCTCACTGGGTCAGACCATGTATGAATGGAAACTTACACCATTTATACCAAACATTTTCTTTTTGTTTCCATCTGATGTGATTAAATTTCTCAAAATAAATAAATAGATTTTAGATGACCAAAAGATGCAGCTTTGTGAAGATGGGCCGTCAGGTCTAACGGTGATGGACACGGGGATGACGACATGGCTACCTCGTCCTCCAGAACGTCCTCCTGGACTGTTGAGGACTGCCGGCTGAGGCTCACGTTCTCGGCGGCGCTGTTGTTCTTCCTCCGGATTGAACTACGCGATTCATCCGTGATACTTTGAATCTGAACCACGTGGTACGGTCCGGGGGAGACGGCGGACAGCGGACAAGGGAAACGGCCCAGTTGTCAAATGTTGCACATTGTACTTGTATTTAAACATGCTGTCGTGACTCGATTATTTGTTGGCACACATTGTGTCTTCTTTTTTGTGCAAAATGCAATAAAACTATACAAAGTTGTGGAGAAGAGGCCCGTGAGTGCAGACTACATAAATGTTGCGTTACCTCTCTCTCCCTCTCAGTCCTGGACAGTTGCATCTGTTTCAGCATCTGAGACCTCTGCTCCATCACCAGTGTCTTCTCATAAGTAAAGGCTGAGATGTCGTTGTCGTGCTGCAGAGAAAACAACAGAAGTCCATCAACAACAAAATACCAAAGGTAACAATACTCACACGTTTCTCACTGGTGAATATTTAACGCACGATTACACATAAAAAAGAGGAGAATGCCCCCCAACCTCAATAACATTAAAACAGGAAATGGACATATGTCAAAAACTGATCCTCTAACCCCAAAAATAATTAAAATAAAATAACAAATTTATGAATTATTCAAAGCAGGGCACTGATAAAAACTCATTTGGCCTGCTGTGTCCCCAAACATGCCTGCATCCCACTTTGTCCCCGTGAACCAAAGTTGCCTCACCATCTCCACCACTTCCACCTCTGCGTTCAACCTCAGGTGATACAGGAACATCTGCAGATCCTTCTTCATTTGGATGCTGTTGTCGTCCATCTGGGCCACGGTGAAGATGCGCATCTTGCATTTCTTCCACACCTGGTAAAATAATTGAACACGGCGTGTTAGTCAGGGAAACACCAAGGAGAAATATCTGTCAGGCGTAAGGGCGGACACCAACCTTGTGCTGTCGCAGCAGGAAGGGCAGCAGCATCAGGAGGCCGCCATCGTGGACCACCCACCACACGTCTATGGTGCCCTCCCCCAGGCGGTCCTGGTTGGTGGGGAAGCTGTCCACATTCTTGGCCACCAGTAGAGCCTGATGGGCGGCTGTGGTCTCCCTCACTGTCTCTGATGTTTTCGTGTGAGAGAGGAGGTGTGTGAGAGTTAAAAGTAGACAAAATAAGATGAAAAGCTTGACAAATAAAAAACAAATTAAATACCTATGAAATTCCTCCATGACTGTGGGTCATTGGACTGTCTCCACGTCCCGGGCCAGGCCATCAGGACTGTGTTGTGCTTCATGCCTCCAAGGCCTGCCGACTGAATGAGGTGGGACATGCCGTCTCTGAGGTTTGACGACACCACGACGTGGCAGAAACCCTTCGTCCGCTCGGCCGACATGGAAGACTTAATGTTCTGGACGGGAGGAGAGACAAGACAAGTGATTTTGAACAACAAAAATGAACAGAGTGCTGTCTCTACTAATTCCAAATGACAGATTCTAAACAAAGCCTATTAATACAGTACAGTAGGTTCAATCTGGAGCACAGCTCCTTCATGTGTAAGTAATTACTTTCTCAGGAAACGTAATCAACTGATTAAATGCTTTTAAGGGCCAGTGACATAAATGCTTAAATAATAAATACTACATTTTGACCAGTAATCTGTTATGAGTCAGGGGGGAATCTTTCAAAAATCATTTAAATCATCCAGGTAGCATTTAATCAACAACTTGATCAACTTGGGAACAGTTGCATAAACATTAGCACGTCGGTCTGCTGCTCCTGACCTGCTCAGCCTTCTTTGCTTCTGCTTCTCTGGTGAGATATGTCCCCTCTAAAATATGTCCTACGATGGTCAGGCCTTTTCCTGCCTTCAGCTGAGTGGAGAGGGACAGCAGGCGAGGGTGTTTTACTGCCTGATCTGAGTCCAGGTTCAAAAGCACCAACACCTGAGGTCTGGGGGAGACGAAAACAATTGTTGATTTCATACAGGCAGTACCTGTGAGCCTCAGCACAGAGTGAAGGATTAACAGACTTTTTGTTGGATTAATTTTTTGGAACTAGGAGATTATTTTAATTCACTTCCAGAGTCTAGTCTGGTCTCTCTGCAACAGTAATGGATTGTCCAAAAATACCTTCAACATTTTAGCAACACAGACACAAACAAAAATAACAATCACACACCTCCAGTTCTTGGTGTGAGGTGGAGCCTCCTCAAGGCGGATGAGGGCGTAGCGAGCCGCATTGAGAGACAGACCACGAATCCCGTCGCCCCATTCCTTCTCCGCCCTTAAGTTCACCATGAACAATAATGTTAATAAAGGAACTGCACCAACATCTCATGATAATCAGAAACCAAAGAACATCAAGTCTTCCAAGACATCCTTACCCTCTGTATTCAATGTATTTGTAGATGCAACCAGCAATAGCCATGGCAACAATGGCATAATACCAGGAGGAAATAAACATGATGGCGAGACACAAACTCATCCCCAGGAAGGACAGAGTCCTGCCAGAAAAATACAAATATATTTTTGTTCAACTTAGATTGTTATCTCATGTTTAATGTTGCCAAGACTTTGAATTTCCAAAACTCATTGTTTGAGTATAATAATGCAGTAACAGTAAACTAAAATACCACTGACCAGTGATAGTATTTGAAGCGCGGCCTCCAGTTTGGTGTTCGCAGCAGGGTTTGGACGGCACAGGCCAGGTTGACAAACAGGTAACACATAAGGAAGAACCTGCAAAGTGAGAGTCAAAAGGCTTAAAAAATCAATGAGAAACACAGGGGGCCATGTATACATATATATACAACATAAATATATATGATCCAGACAGGTACTGACATTGACAGAATAGGGGCCACAGCGTCTAGCGAGGCAATGATAATACCGATCTCACAGATCCCAGCTGTGAGCAGCAGAGCCCAGGTGGGCTCTCCGTTAGCTTTCCCATGACCAAACACCTAGGGACACAAGTGCAAAAATATTAGTTGAGAATTTATTTATTTTTTGTTGACAGTGATTACTGCCTCTGCCTCCGACCTCTAAGAAAGGTACGATGCCATCGCGCGCGATGGCCTGCAACAGCCTGGGGGCACCGGTGAGACTCTGCAGCCCAGCCCCACAGCAGGAGAAAAATGAGCCAATCACGATGACCCAGGGCGAAGGCCACGACAAGGTGCCTATAACAAGGTTTCCTTTCACCGAGTCACCAAATCTGCAATTACAAAAAACAGTTGCTAAAAACACTCGATATCAGGTATAAAATGGGAATTTTGCTAAAAAATAAAAACATAAACAAACAAACTAAACTCTTACTTGTCTCGGAGCAGAACTCCTTCAATGCACGCACCGAATAGGACCACACAGCTGATGTCTGAAGAGCACTGATCAAAAGAATAACTGATTTCAAATTCATACCACATAGAAAACTTATCTGCCACAAATCAGCACAGTTTGCAGCAAAAAACAAAAGCATTATTGAAACAATTCTAGACCAACATTTCCTAGTGTTTTTGACACAGCACGGTTCAAGGATACAGATGAAGGAGGTGGTAGCAATAGCCAAGATGGTTCCAATGGGGATGGACTTCTGGGCATCCTTTAAGTCACCGGACCGGTTCGAACCAGCCATGATACCTGGAAAGAAAGGTGCAAAAAAATGAAATCAATCATCTCGCAAATGTCACACGCAATATTCCTCCCACATTTTTGTGTCAACTCCATCAGTCTCACCGGTGACAGAGGGGAAGTAGATGCCGACCAGCATTGTGAAGAACGTGGAAATATCATTGAAAAGGTAGGGCAGGTAAATGTCCTGGGCGGCATCACTTTCGCCTTCAGATGGCAGTATTCTGCTCTCTACCTTCATACCCAGGAGTCCGTAGTTCGACCACATATTATCTACAGGACAGTTGAAAAAAACAACCAGTTACAGCCAATGACATCAAGCTGGTGTTATGTTTGGACAGATTTACGAAAAACAAGAGATAAGACCAGGAACTCAGACAAGACAAATATTTAACATTCATGAAATATTTCGTGGATATCATGTGTCATGTGGGAATGTGAATGTGAAACGTCTTATTTATTTGCACATTTTAGTGAACGTGAAGCAGGAGGAGGGGAAATTATTCCTATTTTCTATTGCTGCCATTTATTCTATTATACCTGACTAGGGGTGTTCAACCAGTGGTTCGTGGCCCTTTGATCAACCGAAGAGGTGTCAATACCTAGCCAAGTTTTTTTTACATTTTCCATTTTTATTCAGTATCTCTGTGAAATAGGAAAATGTGGAAAATTCCCACACTGCCATTTTGAAAGAATAAGTACTCGTACAGGGTAAAGCTGCAGTCAGAGAATGTTGAATGATTTCATGAGTGTCACTGTTGGTCACTGAACTAAGAAAATAGATGGACTCTGTTTTGACAGGCCTGAGGTCTGAGACAATCGCCAGTGTAAGGTTCCAACCATAATATTTTGAGTTCAGCCTCAGGGTGGAGGGAAAAAGGCTCCAGGGTTTGTTTGGAAAATACTAAACACAGTTGGTACGACTGAAGGATGGTTGGATTGAATCCCACAGTTTTGTTTTTAGGCGTCGTTGTCTTGTCTAGGTTAGGTGTTGCAATCTCTAGTCACAGAAATACAAGGGTTTGCACGGCCGCCTAATCAAGATGGTGTAAACTCATTTAGTTTGAGTGAAATAAATAGAACTGCTTTTGTATTCAAATGTTACGCAATGTAACCTAAACCTGACCTCCTTAGAAACTGCTATAATTAAAATCAGACACGTTGCCAGACAAATGGAGGCAAAGCAACATTGACAGGGTTTATCTTTGAAACACACTGAAGTCAAACTGGACACATTGTTGGGAGCAGTTACTTTATCAGAACTACTTGGTCAAACAGAGTACAGAGTAAAGAAAGATACTTCCCTTAGTTCTCTTATACTGCAAGTATGTCAAGAATGCATGTCTCTATGGACAGTGTGGAGTCAAACTAAACGGTCAAGGCCAACAGTTACATAACAGGAGGAATGTCTTGGGTGTGCACCATTTTATGGAATCATGAAACGTTTAGGATTGTTTCCTTTTTACTATGGGGGTTTAGTCTTGCACAAATCTTCCCTCAGCCTGGTCTGATTTCCCTTCTTGGAATATCGTTTTCACACAACGAAGCAGAGAATTCTTCATACTTTTTCCATGTAATGTATGAATATGGCCAAATATGGAAACCAGAGGTCACAGGGGTCACAGGGGCTTTGTATGTGTGTTTTAAAAAAAGGAAACAGTATTTCCTGACCTGTGATGACTCCACTGATCAGCCCCGGGATGCCCTGCATCTCAGTGACATTGTTGTTCTCAAAGTATGTGTCGCAGGTGGCGTTGAGCTCAGGACCTTTGCAGAACTGCTTCCACAGAGCAGTGGTGACCGTCACGTTGTCTATGACCTCTGACTTAAGACACTTGGAGAAGCCACTGTTTTGCAGAATGCGGTTTCCCAGCATGCACACACTGTGTAGAGGGAAGACAAAAAAGTGTGAAATGTGCAAAAGGTCATTGCGTACTCATTGGCTAACTAGCCAACGCTAACCATAACAGCCCAATGTACTGACTGCAGTGACTGCACAGAGGACTCACGGAAAGTCTGGAGGTTCAAAGATGGACTTGATGACTCCTGCGTAGATGGCCAGGATGGAGAGAATGACACATGCTAGGAAAACTAAGGCCAGTTTGTTGACATACTTCACTCCAACAAAAACCACCACAGCCATCAGCGCCAGGCAGCACGTGCCATAAACACGCATGTTATTCAGCAGGGCCATGGGCTCATCCTGCTTCGTCTCCGCCTTGAAGATGGCTGCTTTAGGCACAATGTAGGTCTGACGAGACAGAAGAAAGAACACGTTACCATAACAAGGTGAAGAAGAACATGCACTCTGATGATAGCTAGCTTTATGGGTAAAAACGTGGCTCACTTACCAGGAGAATCTCTATGGTACCCAGGATGTACATAGAACCAGCAAACGTTGTCCCCAGGTAGAAACACAGACCTACAGCTCCTCCGAATTCTGGACCGAGAGATCTAGAAATCATGTAGTAGGAGCCACCAGCTACACAGGTAAAAAAAAAAAAAAAAAAAAAACACACAGTGGAGGTTAAAAAGGTCATGTCCAATTATGCCAATTAATAAACTCATATAGAGTCAAATTTCTGACAATAATTATGTTGTATTTCTTTTCAGTATTTCAGTGTTTTTGTATGTCAAAAAAGTACCTTGAATGAAGAACACAAACAAAGATTAAAAAAGTTCTAAGACTGATTTTAGAAATTAAAAAAAACCATACCTGGAACAACGCCATTGGTCGCAATTGCACTCATAGATATGGCCGTCAGCATGGTCTGTGGAAAAGAGAATTTCCCTTTTACCTCTTTCATTAATTATTTAAAATGTAAATGATTGAGCGTAGACACAAATAGGGAATATAAATATCACATCAGTTTCATTTTGTTTCTACTGAAATCACCAACAAAAATAATCAAACCCCTAAGACCACTGCTAACCCGAGAATGTTTATGGGCTCATGCTTTAAACATCGGATTATTGTTAGATACAAGATTTACATTTTGGGAAACACATACGGTAAGAATGCACCCACGCAAGAGAAGAGGAGAAGGAAGTGGACGAGAGAACTGAGGACAAGGTCACAGCGACGAAGGAGCGAGTGCTCTTTGCTGGGCATCCGGTTTAAAGAGGCAGACAAGCTGGAGTAAAGCCAATTACCAGACATTTTTACCTTCTGCTTCCACTGAAACCCTAAGAAGATACAGCATGGACTTGACCACTAATGAATCTGAGGGTTAACAATTAGGAGCAGAGCTGACAGTTCAACCGTAATGCCTTCAGGACAGTCAGGGTCCATGTACTGTTAAGTTTGTTATTTTAGTTCAACTTAGATCGTTTACAGAACAGAACAGGCATTATTACATGTTGCTCAGCATCTCAGTGGAGAGGAGAGGTACTGCAGCCTGAAAGAGGAGCCGCAACTGTTACAAAAACATGGATTACTTACAACAAAAAAGCATAGAAGAAACTTAAGACCGTCTGATCTGTAAACCGACAAGAATTAACAATGAATCACTATTTGTAACCGTCTGCGTCAGAAGTCTGAGTTGTCAAGGTCGGGCGTTGGTTCTAAATGGTGGGATGATTTCAGGCGTTTTGTAGCTCAGTATATGAAAATACAAAACAAAAATTAAGGACGATTATTGTGCCGTTCCTGCACAGATGGCTTTGTTTACCAAATTACAGCACCTTAACAAATCCAAGACTGGAACACCAGTTCAAACCCGACAGATGGTTGAACTCAGATGTGGTGTAATCTCTGTGACTAAGCCTGAATATTTCTGTTATGTAACTGTAATGTGGCTAATGCATCTGATGTGGGGGGTCCACCTCCTTTACTTCTTTTAAAGACATATCAATATTGATCTTTCATGTGCGAAGACAATTAACATTCACATCTTTTCCATCTGACTGAAAGATTTTCATCTTACGATGATAAGTGGACGTGATCACTTTTTGCCTGGGGAGCGTTCCATTTCTGAGCCAAAAGCCTTCATTGACACAGAGATTTTGTACTTTCCCTGATTAATCCAGTGTCTGGTGGGTTTGTTGCTACGATGCTGACATTTTGCAGATGGAGGGATTAAACATCCAGCTCTCAGGTACCATCAGAAGCCAGCGGTGTATGGGAAAAGACGAGTCACAGTGGCTAAATATAGAAAGGATCAGTGACCACTGAGTCAACTTCTCAGCCGCTCCTTCATCGCTGCTGTCAATCCTCTATCCGCATCAGTCTTAAAAGGCTGGAGATGCTGCTGAAAGCCTTACGTGGAAATACTCTCACACTCGCTCTTAAGTGTGGATGTGCTGAGCATATGTCACTCTGAAAAGCCGGGTTCACACATTAACTCTGGTCTTACATAATCCTGACCATCGTCGTTCTGATGGCTAACTCCTACTGTAACTAAAATCCTATAAAAAGGTCAAGTTTATTTTAGCCTGTGTTTCCTACTATGTCACATGGCAAGTGTAAAAACAAAAACAAACCCTGTGTTTCCTACTATGTCACATGGCACTTTTTGAAGTGTAAAAAAAACCCAAACTATTATTATTATTATTGCAAAAAGGGAGATTAACGTTGAGCCAGTACTCACACAAGAGCAGCACAAGCCAACAATAGCCAGGGACTCCAGGATCCCAGCAGAGCCAACTATCCAGGTAAGGCGCAAAAATAGGATGACCCCCAGAATGTTCTGGAGGCAGGGAAGGTAGACACCCATGAAGGTCCCCATCTGTGGGCTCTGTAGAGGTGAAACAAGAGGGTAAAGTAAAGTACATGGAGCCGATGAGCAAGTAGAGGAGAGACAACAACTGTGTTCATGTAGGAAGAATATAAAATAAAAAAAGTCAGAAAAGTCTGATATTTAATCTGGCAATATTTTAAAATAATATGCCATTCAGACTCTGATACAAACAGAATAGTCTATAAGATGTCAACATTAATATTGTTCATTTCATAAAAACAAGTTTTTATTTTAGCGTTAACAAACTCTGCTGCATGTTCCAGCGGGCCACAAAGAACAACTTGGCGGGCCACGTTTGGCCCCTAGGCCTTAAGTTTGACACACATGGATTTGATAATCTTTTATTTTAGCTTTTAACCTATAAAATCTTTTGTTAGTAGATGAAACTGTGCTGAGATTGAAACTCCAGAGTGAAAGAGGTTAAACAAAAGTGTAAAAACTGTAATTTCCTTCCTGCAAAACTGAATCTGTAATGTCTTTACGTAGCATTTCACTAAAAATATCTAAAATGATGACAGTGCACGTTTGTGCAAGCAGGCAGAGAAAGTTCACAGTAAAACAAACAGCCGGGTTTCTCCACTCCATGACCTGCTGGGGGTAGTTCAACAGGTCCAACACCAACAGTTGAATCCATGCCGTGAGCTACAGTTGTACAAACATCTTCTGCCAGCGCTCCGCTCTCTGCTCTACCTTCACAGCTTTTTTCTTGGGCCCCTCATCGTCATCAGCCTCCTCGTGCTCCTGCGCCCCCTGGGTGAGATTGGTGTAATTTGCCAGTTTGTTGAGGAGAGAAGACACCATTGGGTTGCTGTCCATTTCCTCCTGTAACACAGAGAGTTTTAGGACAACACGACAGCACCAGTGGTTTTTAAGAACTGATCACTTGGTTCGAGCCTCTGGTTTCTACATTTTTCCTTTTTATTGCTGTATTCTTATAGAAAAGTTGTCTTTTGTCGGTGTCACTGTTTACCAAGCGCACATTTCAGAACTTCTAAAAATAACTTGTGCATCATCGGATCTGCTGTGCACAGAAACTAAAGTCTCTGATTGATTCTGTCCAAGAGCCAGTGACCACAGAGCAGCAAAGTCATCAAATGGCAGAAAAAAAACAGCAGGCAGCAGAGTGATATCTAAAGAGTGTGTCGACTGAACATGTGCAGCACTCTGACTGAAACACTGTTAACCAAAGAGGACGTGTACTAACATGGAGGTAGCATCATCTGTTCACGTTACCTCAAAGAGAGCCATGTTGGTGCCATCGTAGCTGTTGTTTTTGTCGATGTCTGTGTTGTTAATGAAAGGGCTGTTTTCCTTTGGAACGCCATCGCCTGTGGAATCACAACGAAACGGTTAAATCTCGAGAGGAATCGTGCTTAACAGAAAAAAGAAAAGGAAAATATACCGTAAGCAACAACACGCTATTATTTGGATCATCACTGGACTAAACGTTAGGGTTCCAAGTACAAATCCCTGTTGGACCTCATGTTGTCAGATTCCCATTAAACTCATTTATGTACGTGCAGTACTGCCACACCAAGGAGTATTCATTGTCAAGTAGGTGAACACATACTGGACTACTACATACGTTGACTTAATAAAATACATTTATAAACTGATACACTAATGTTCTTGGTTCTCTTCTCGATGCCACGTCTAACCGCAGTAAGAGATCATAGACTGTACCAGTCTTGAGACACCCGGTGCTTTGTGGATAAAACTGAAGAGCACACCTTCTGCTCAGGAGTTAGCCAAATTTAGACTGACTTTAGAATAAACTTCAAACTAAAAATACAGTTTATTTTCCTACACATCCAAATCACGGTGGCCAGTATTACAGGCAGAGCTGAAAAGTAAATACTTAAATTGAAGTCCAAGAGTTTGACTGGATCGCCAACATGACTGGACTTCTCCAAAGTTAAACAGAATGGTGAAAAAACAAAAAAAACAAACTTAGAGACAAGGACAGAGAGAAAGTTGCAGATGCAAAAAAAAAGTTTTGTTAGCAGAACGGCTAATTGCACATGTAAAAGTTGCAGATGCAAAAAAAAAGTTTTATTAGCAGAACGGCTAATTGCAAAATACTGTAATTAAAAAAATTATATCAAACAATGCTGACACTTATGTACAGTATATGTTTAAACCACACATGGTCTGGTTTGTCTTTCTGTCTTTGGCCAAACGAGCTCTGCTGTGACCTTCCACTATGGACAAATATGATATTAATAGCTAACATTAATTAACACACCATCTTCTCTGCATCACTTCTTCGACCACGGCACTCAGTTGATCCGTGTTTTGCACCACTGTGAGTGAGCCTTCTTTAGAGAGAACATTCTAGCACCAAACTGCCAACCGCATCTTTAACTTTGGGGGAAACGGTTGGTCACGCAGCTGCACACTGTGACGATCAAAGAGCTGCAGGACGGTCTCAGCGTCAACACTCACAAACTTCTACTGATAATCCATGTCGATTACAGTGAACAGGTGTTCTATTCTGTGACTGGTTACTGAGAGCAGAAACCTGAGCGTATCCAGAATCCAATCTAATTACTTAGAAGGTATTTCTGGTCATAATGTTATTATTAAATGATTATTAAAATACTAGGTGTTAGGTACAACAACATACACAGACTCACTGCACTACGCTACGCTGGGAAACTAAAACCTGATTAGCATGTCTATGGTGATACTTAGAATAGAAACGTGATAACACAGTCATTGTGTCGATGCATGTGATCAACAGGTGGATTCTCCATTACAGACCCCAACCACATTTAAATCATTTTTGTATTTCTTGTTGGAACAACTACAGCCTGACCTTTTTTTTTTTTTTTTTACTACATCTTGAGTCTCCAGCCAGAGCTGCCCTATCAGACGTGTCTGTTTATGTGAGTCACGAGTGGCTCCGTCTGGTTCAGGTGAGGATGGCGTGGCGCCAGGGTAAAGCAGGCGGAAAAGGAAGGATTAAAAATGCCATCAACATGCAACGTTGATGGTGTTGGAGACGGCAGTCGGTAAGCTGCTCTATTTATACTTGACTTCAACACATTTGTGTTTGAAAAAGGGTGTAACATCTGCTTCAATACATTGCCTCAAAACAGTACAACAGTTATTCTACATTTTAATTCATTCAGTTATCAACCCTTCCCATTAGTGAGCCCAGCCCAGCACGGTGTTCCGCCCCTGCTCCGACATCCATCAGTGTTGAACTCTGACTGCACCAGGGATTTGATCAAACTTTTACTGCTTCATCCAGCTGCAGGGGAATAAGAGGCTTGTGGCAAGGCTTAGCCCAATAATAATCACAGGGAAAGTCATTATGTCCTTGTACTTAGAGGATCTGCATGAGCACGGTGTTTGAGTGGAACACCAGAACACAGTGAATTAGATCAGAACAAAGGGTTTCACTAAGCTGGGAGAACAGAATACATTTATATTCCTCCCCGGTGTAACCAGGATGCTGGCCGAGGTAACACAACCTCAACCCTGGCCGCGACACCACAGATAATTCTCCTCTTAAACGACGTGGGCTGCAATCCTCTTTGAAGAAAGCCGCATCGACACTCAGCAGGCTAAAGCTAGCAGCGTGGTCACCAAATCCGTACTGGTTTCCACTTTTAGAGTGAGACTCTGCGTAAAGGGTTTTAGGTGTCAAACAGGAAGAGATCGCAGAATATTCAACTTTTAGGGATTACTGCCACAAAGAGACTTCAGTAAAAAAAAAAAGTATTTCCTTTCAGGGTTGGTTTCAGTTTAATAGTGTTGTTGTAAAATATCTGTGATACAGGTGTAAGAATCAATTAAAAACAAATTAATATGATGAATATTAAAAATTGCTAGGCAGTCCTGGTCCATACCAATGCATTTTTTTTCCATCAAGCAACTCTCCCCTGTGGCCTGTTTTGCTGCTATGAAGGATACATCATACCATAATGTCCAGGGCTGCCAAACGACACTTTCTTCATATGGCACACTCTTTGGTGCAACATCAACTACAGGTACAAAGATGGGTTGAAAAGGAAACCGACAACTTTACTGCAATGACGTCAAGTGACGGCCAAGAGGGATTTGTTGTTCAAACCACACAATTATGAACCAAATAAGAAATCTGTCAAAAAAAGCCAAGGACCTTCGTGTGTCTCTGAGGACACGTTCAAACAGGCAACATCAGCAACAAATAAATCAACGACGCGACGCAGTTGTGAAATCTGAACTAAATATCAGCTGTTTAGATGTTTTGACTGTTTATTAGTACTGTTAATTTGTATCACACTCAGAGAGACGACAGCGTTTTTTTTTAACCAGTGTATATTTGGTTTAAGCCAGTATTTGCAATCTTCAAAACGTAAAATAACACGGTATTCAAAATTATGCCCAATGACGAACAGAAATACTTCTCCACATCGTAACAGTTCCCAGCATAACTGAGGTTTGTTCCTTTGTACTAAAACGTCACGTCACATGTCCCGTCACTTCATCCTTCATTAACCACAGTCTAAACCAAAATCAAGATTTCAGCTAAAATGGTTCCAGCTGGTCGTTTTTTCAGTTGGCGAAGTAAAGAGTGCTGTTATTGAACGCTCCTTAAACACAAGGATACATAAAACAAGATATTCCTCTGAGGAATATATAATCCCTAAAACAAAAATAATAAATATGAGAAACTTCCAGACAGCAGGCGTGGTACTGTAGCTTATTGAATGGTCCAGATTAAATGTACAGCAGTAAACAGATGTTAGCCTCTGAACACATGGTTTCTCGAAAATCTGAGATTTCATCAACATAATCTGGTTACGTTGATGGTAGCGACCAGACAAATTGCTAGAAATTAACGAAAGCTATCCGCAAATGATGAATGAAAACAAACGCGTAACTGACGTTCAGCCTTAAGAGTGGGGAAAGTTTTATTCCTATTAATGAAACACTGATTAATATATTTTAAACTTTGTCTGCATCACATTTAAAAAAAACAAAATACTATTCTTGTTCCTGATTTTGAATCCCAAGTACAGTGTACGCAGGCTGTCCTCGGACGTCATAGCACAGCTCTGTCCCCAGTGAGAACTCCATGATCGACCCTGTGCACCCTGCAAAATTGCAACCTGTTCTTTGACATTATTACCCAACGCGTTCTGTGCTGACATCAGCGGTTCTATCACAGCTCACAAAGCCTATGCTGTAGGGTGCAAATACGTTCTTAGAGGGGAATTAGTTATGAAATGATACCGCTTTACACTGTACACACCTGCGCTGCACGCCTTGTTGTACCGACCATAGCGGCCGAGGACGTCGTCTGCATCATTCTGTTGTTCATCTGTAATGATGAATGGTTTTTCCTTCCTCTTGCTAATGTGAGAGGTGTTTATGTGCTGTGCCTAATGTTCTGACAGTAAGAGGATACATACAGTATCACACAGTACTGCATCTCCCCTTACTGTTTTTGCACATCCCTTTTATGCTGGGGACATTCCAAACTCAACATGATGATGTAACACAAAACTTTGGTTTAAACTGTTAAACCGGTTAAAATGCTGCAGTTAGCTTAGCAACAGTAAGATGCTCGTTCGTCCACCGTCAGGTCAGTCAGCAGGTACAGGTACGACCAGACCTTTCCACCACACAGTACAGCTTACTGGTCAAGGTGGTGATAAACGACCACCTATTTATATCCTCTAAGCAGCACACTGATAATGGTAAGCTGCCTAACACTGCCGGAGATTCACTGCCGACTCCCTGGAACATGAATAATAACAAACATATTAATAATAATGATGATCTACTTTTTTTGTCTGGGATTCATTTCAACAATGAGTAAATTAATTTGTAGATTTTAATTTAAAAATACAGCACAGATGAAAGGGTAATTCGACCTTGGTCATTTGTCTATATACACGACATTTATTCTGCCTGTAACAATAGCACAAAGTTCAGCAATCTGTCTTTAGAAGTTTGAGATTTTACTCCACTGTGTATTTACAAGAGAATGTTTATGATTTAAGCATCTGTGCTTTGCACAAATCTGTATATAATCTACTCATCAATGTAAAAGATACCAAACAACAACAATAATATTCTTCACTAGCATCACACGAATACTTTCAACAAAGCTTTACTCAAAAAAAAAAAGAAACAAAGACGTAGTCGAGTAACGAATAACTTACCCTTCATCCGCAAACTTCCCGTTTGCTCCATTCTGAGGAGCAAACAAGGGAAAACTAATTTTCCCTGAGGAACTCCAGCAATATAGGTCCAAAGTACAGAAATACTCCTAGTGGAGTGCAGAAGTCAGAAATGCTGGCTGCACTGTGTGGATAATGTAAGGATCAGC